ACTACTACTACTACTACTACTACTACTACTACTACTATTACTACTACTACTACTACTACTACTACTACTACTACTACTACTAGTAGTGGTAGTAGTAGTAGTAGTAGTAGTAGTAGTAGTAGTAGTAGTAGCAGCGGTATTAATGGTAGTGTTATTAGTAAAAGTAGTGGTAGCAGTAGCAGTAGTAGTAGCAGTACCAGTAATTGTAGCAGTAGTACTAGTAGCAGTAGTAATAATAATGGTAGTAGATATCATCGCAGTGGTGGTCGTAGTAGCAATAAGACTGGTAGTAGTGGTACTCGAAGTAATCGTACTGGTGGTAGTAGCAGTTGCAGTTGCAGTAGTAATAGCACTAGTGGTAGTAGTCGTAGTAGTAGTGGTAGTAGTGGAAGTCGAAGTAGAAGCAGTTGCAGTAGTAATGGTACCACTGGTAATAGTAGTAGAGTAGTAGCAGTAGTAGTAATCGGAGGTGAGGGGGTGAGATCGAAGTGGAACGGAGAGCCCCCCTACCGGGAAATCGATTTCGGTTTCGTGTTCGTGCGTGCCGTGCGTGCGGGCGAGGCGAAGCTGCGTGGGCTGGCAAGAGAAAGTCTCCTGTGGCTGAGGCGCGGCCGGACCAAATGATTCTCCACCGGGCGGCCGGTGGCGCGCGGTGTCCCGCCGGTGTCCCGCTGGTGTCCCGTCGGTTCTCCTGTGGCTGAGGCGCGGCCGGACCAAATGTTTCCCTTCCGGGCGGCCGGTGGCGCGCGGTGTCCCGCCGGTGTCCCGCTGGTGTCCCGTCGGTGTCCCGTCGGTGTCCCGATGATGATGTGGATGATTATGATGATGATGATGATGATGATGATGATGATGATGATGATGATGATGATGGTGATGGTGATGGTGATGGTGATGATGATGATGATGATGGTGATGATGATGATGGTGATGATGGTGATGATGATGCGCGAGCTCGAAAGAGGAAGGGAAACAATTACGATGTTGCCCATTGCTGGGCCCCTCCCCCCCAACCTAGACCGAATGAGAGTTCGACTGTGAGACCGAATGTGAGATCGATTGCGAGATCGATTGTGATATCGATAGTGAGATCGACTGTGCGATCGATAATGAGATCGATTGTGAGATCGATAGTGAGACCGAATGTGAAACCGAATGTGAGATCGACAGTGAGATCGATTGTGAGATCGATAGTGAGATCGACAGTGAGACCGAATGTGAGACCGAATGTGAGATCGATTGTGAGATCGATTGTGAGATCGATAGTGAGATCGATAGCGAGATCTATAGTGATATCGATAATGAGATCGAATGTGAGATCGATAGCGAGATCGATCGAGTGAGACGTTGTTTCCCCCTCCCCCCTCACCTCCTTATCACCCGCAGGGTGGTCGTGTAGGTAATAATAGTAATCATGGTAGTAGTAATCGTCGCAGTGGTGGTCGTAGTAGCAATTACGCTACCGAGGAACCCCACATACAAATTGTATGTCTTGTGTGAACCGCGCTACCACTACCACCGCCGTCATGCTCTCAGGTGCCCCCTGTGGTCGTCGAAAGGAGGGGGAGGACGTGTGGGGGGAGAGAAGGGGTTGAGGAGTCATCTGTGACGGTCATATCCGGCGTCGCCTGGCACTTGGACACGAGAGGTAATACGCAATCCCGCACTAGAGGCTATGCCGGGACGACCCTGGCACGCATAGGGAGACCACCCCCTGCGCACACCCTCTGGTGTTGAGAAAATGCCACGCCTGCGATGCCTGGACGACCCTGGCACGCATAGGGAGACCACCCCCCGCGCACCCCCTCTGGTGTCGAGAAAATGCCACGCCTGCCACGCTCTCCGACCCTGGCACGCATAGGGGCCGCGGTGAGAGACCACCCCCTACGCACCCCCCTGGTGTCGAGGAAGTGCCACGCCTGTCACGCTCTCCGACCCTGGCACGCATAGACGCCGCGGTGAGAGACCACCCCCTGCGCACCCCCCCTGGTGTCGAGAAAGTACCACGCATGCCACGCTCTCCCGAAAACTGGCACGCATAGACGACCCGGAGAGAAGAGACCACCCCTGAGCACCCTCTCTGGGGTCGAGAAAGTGCACGCCTGGCCACGCCTTCCGACCCCTGGCCACGGCATAGACGCCGCGGTGGAGACCAGCACCCCTGCGCACCCCCCCTGGTGTCGAGGAAAGTGCCACGCCTTTCCTGCCACGCTTCGACCCTGGCACGCATGGGGGCCGCGGTTGAGACCACCCCCTGCGCACCACCTCTAGTGCCGAGAAAGTGCCACGCCTGCCACGCTCTCCGACCCTGGCACGCATAGAGGCCGCGCTGAGAGACCACCCCCTGCGCACCCCCTTCTGCTGTCGACAAAGTGCCACGCCTGCCGCGCTCTCCGACCCTGGCACGCATAGAGGCCGCGCTGAGAGACCACCCCCATCGCACCCCTCTGGTGTCGAGAAAATGCCACGCCTGCCAGCGCTCTCCGACCCTGGCACGCATCGACGCCGCGGTTGAGAAACCACCCCCTGCGCAACCCCCCCTGGTTGTCGAGAAAGTGCACGCCTGCACGCTCTCCGGACCCTGGCCCACGCATAGACGCCGCGGTGAAGAGAAAACCCCCTGCCGCCCCCTACTCTGGTGTCGAGGAAGAGTTGCCACGCCTGCCACGGCTCTCCGACCCTGGCACGCATAGACGCCGCGGTGAGAGATACCACCCCCTGCGCACCCCCCCTGGTGTCGAAAAAGTGCCACGCCTGCCACGCTCTCCGACCCTGGCACGCATAGACGCCGCGGTGAGAGACCACCCCCTGCGCACCCCCTCTGGTGTCGAGAAAGTGCCACGCCTGACACGCTC